AATAATAATAATAATAATAATAATAATAATAATAATAATAATAATAAGATAAGATAAGATTGTGTAAAAACAAAAACAGTGCAAAGACAAGACAGGAATAAATTTAAATATAAAATACATAAAACAAAGTTAAGAAGGATAACTTAGTCTAAAGAGATGTGTTTTCAGAGTATCCTGATGCATGCTCAATAATCCAGGTAGAAAAATCTAAAAAAGTTAAATCTGGTCCTCTGGACATTCAAAAAAAACAAAACAAAGCAAATCAACAAAAAAATGTAGAAACGTTTCGTCTCTCATCCGAGAGACTTCCTCAGTCTGAGGAGCTGTATTCAGCTCAGTCTCTTAAATAGCACCGTCTCAGGGTGGATCAACCAGTTTTGCTGCTGACAACCAAAACTGTTTTCAGAGTAGTCTTGAACAGAGAAAGAGAGGTGGTGTTTCGTAAGTCTGGTGGTAGAGAGTTCCAGAGGTGAAGGGCAGAGCAGGTGAAGGCCCTGCTTCCCATGGTGGAGAGGCGGGCAGAGTGTACATGGAGGTGTAGCGAAGAGGAGGACCTGCGAGAGGGGATGGAGATGTGTAGGAGGTCAGATAGGTAAGGAGGGGCAAGATTGTGGATAGCTTTGAAAATGAGAAGAATAATTTTGAAGACGATGCACAATTTAACCGGGAGCCAGTGGAGCTACTGCAGGACAGGAGTGATGTGGTTATAGGAGGCGGTTTGAGTGATGACACAGGCAGCTGAGTTCTGGACCATCTGTAGCTTCTGAAGAGATGTGTTGGGGAGGCCATAAAGAAGGGAGTTGCAGTAGTCAATCTGGAAAGTCACAAGACTGTGAACAAGGATGGATGTGGAGCGGAGAAGGATGGAGACGGATAATATTTCGGAGATGGAAATAGGCAGAACGAGTAACGTTGATGTGTGAAGTGAAGGAGAGAGTGGTGTTGAGGATGACACCGAGACTCTTGACCTGAGGCGAGGGGGATAGCAGAGAGTTATTAAGGGGATGAGATGTTCTGATTTTGAAATAAGAGTTTTTGGTACCGACAAGGATGATTTCTGTTTTGTCACCGTTTAGTTGAAGGAAATTGTTAGGAAACCAGTGACTGAGCTCACCGAGACAGTCAGTGAGGATGGAGGATGGGTAGGTGGAGTTTGGTTTGGTTGACAAGTAGAGCTGTGTGTCATCAGCATAACAGTGGAAATGGACACCACATTTGTGGAAGATGTGACTTAGAGGAAGGAGGTAAATGATGAAGAGGAGTGGTCCGAGGTCACAGACTTGGGGCACACCCGTGGTGATGGGGGAAGACTGGGAACGGAAGGATTAAAGCTGAATGAATTGAGTGTGGTCAGCGAGATAAGATTTGAACCAGTCTAAATGATTAATCAGTTTATAAATTCTTTGAATTAATAAAATATATGTTTAACATTTAAAAGTCTGCAAGCAGGTTTGTTTCTACAGATTAAAAAATATATAGAAAAATTAGTTATGATG